GGGACACATTCAAACTATAGCAGGCAGATAGATAGGTAGATGATAGATGGATAGATGATAGGTAGATAGATAGATAGGTAGATAGATGATAGATAGATAGATAGATGATAGATGGATGGATAGATAGATAGATAGTTGATAAAGACAAATTTCCCATGCACAATTCTAAGTAGTTTATGTAGATACTCTGCCCTCAAGGAGGTGGAGCACAACTCTATTCCTTAAGTTTGAATGCACATAGTGACTTCTAAGAGTACAGTATGGAAAAGGAGAAAAAGAATAACTTTACTATGAAGAAACCTGACAAACACTACTTCAGGCACGTGGTCAAGATCAACATCAATAGTGATAGTATGTATCCATGATATGACACTTTACTTCTGTGGTCTTCCTCCCTAAAATTCATAACCTCAGTTTAATTGTGAGACAAGTGCATTAGTTTGTTCTCATGCTACTATAAAGAAATACCTCAGACTGGCTAATTTATAAAGGAAAGAGGGGTGTGTGTGTGTGTGACAGAGTTTCACTCTTGTCACCCAGGCTGGAATGCAGTGGTGCTATCTCAGCTCACTGCAACCTCCACCGTCCAGGTTCAAGTGATTCTCTTGCCTCAGCCTCCCGAGTAGTTGGGATTACAGGCATTCGCCACCACCATCTAATTTCTGTATTTTTGGTAGAGACAGGGTTTTACCATGTTGGCCAGGCTGATCTCGAACTCCTGACCTCAGGTGATCTGCCTCCCTCAGCCTCCTAAAGTGTTGGGATTACAGGCGTGAGCCACCGCGACTGGCCAGGAGAGAGGTTTAATTGACTCACAGTGCCACATGGTTAGGAAGGCCTCAGAAAACTTACAATCATGGTGGAAGACAAAGGAGAAGCAAGCACCTTCTTCACAGGACGGCAGGATGGAGTGAGTGCAAGGAGGGGAAATGCCAGATGCTTATAAAACCATCAGCTCTCATAAGACTCACTCACTATCACAAGAACAGCATGGGGGAAACCGCCCACATAATTCAATTACCTCCACCTTGCGCCACCATTGACACATGGGGATTATGGAAATTACAATTGAAGGTGAGATTTAGATGGGGACACAGAGCCAAACCATATCAACGGACATCAGACAAATTCTAATATTTTATAAAACAACTGTTGAGTACTTCTCAAACTATCAAGGTCATCAAAAACAATAAACATCTGAGAAACTGTCATAGCCAAGGGGAGACTAAATGTAATGCAGTGTCCCAGATGATATTCTGGAACAGATAAAGGACATTAGGTGGCCAAGTGTGGTGGCTCATGCCTGTAATCCCAGCACTTTGGGAGGCCAAGGTGGGAGGATCACTTGAGGTCAGGAGTTCTAGAACGGCCTGGGTAGCATAGTGAGACCACATCTCTTCCAGAAATTTTTAAAAAGTTATCTAGGCATGGTGGCATGTACCTGAAGTCCCAGCTACTCAGGAGACTAGGGAAAGAGGATCACTTGAGCCCAGGAGTTCAAGGCTGCAGTGAGCTATGATCACACCATTGTACTCCAGTCTAGGCAACAGACCTTGCTGCTAAACATAATTTTCTTAAGTGCATTAGGTAAAAACTAAGGAACTCTGAATAAAGTATGGACTTTAATAATAATGCATTAATATTGCTTCATTAATTGTAACAAATGTACTATATTAATATAAGTGGTTAACAATAGGGGAAACTGGATGCAGGGCATATGGAAACTCTCTGTACTATCTTTGCAACATTTCTATAAATCTAAAAATGTTTTAGCAAGGAAATACCTTCAGATAAAGGAAAATTAATCCAGCACTTTGGGAGGCCAAGGTGGGTGGATCGCCTGAGATCAGGAGTTTGAGACCATCCTGGCCAACATGGTGAAACCCCGTCTCTACTAAAAATACAAAAATTAGCCAGGCATGGTGGTGAGTGCCTGTAATCCCACTTACTCAGGAGGCTGAGGAGATAACTTCCAGGAAAGAGGTGATAACTCCCAGGTTGTTGCCATGACATATGTAAACTGTCATGGCCTGGTGGGCGTGCCTTATGTCAATGAGCAATGAAAGCAGCTAGGGATCACTTTTTTTGCCATCTGCTGTTTCCTGCGGGTTTCTTCACTTTATCCTGTCTGGACCATATCCTGTTTTGGTCAGCAGGGTTGTGACCAGAAAACAAGTACTGCCGGTCTCTTACCTCAGTATAGTTATGAATTTTTAGAGAACACTTAGAGGGAACTTCCTGATGGACCCCAAACATTCCATGTTCTTTCATCCCTCTCTGCCTCTCCTCATGCTGTTCTCTCTAATGTGTGCCTAGTACATTTCTCCTTATGCTTCAATACTCAACTTAAATATCTCTTCCATGAGGATTTTTTTTTTTTTGAGACAGAGTTTCTCTCTTGTTGCCCAGGCTGGAGTGCAATGGCATGATCTTGGCTCACTGCAACCTCCACCTCCCAGGTTCAAGCAATTCTTCTGTCTCAGTCTTCCAAGTAGCTGGGATTACAGGCATGTGCCACCATCCCTGGCTAATTTTGTATTTTTAGTAGAGACAGGGTTTCACCATGTTGGCCAGGCTGGTCTCAAACTCCTGACCTCAGGTGATTCACCCACCTCAGCCTCCCAAAGTGCTGGGATTACAGGCGTGAGCCGCCATTCCCAGATGGGGATTTTTTTTTTCTTACGCTGTTAGGCTTTCATATTGTGTTCCCGTAGCACCTCTATTCTTGTTCTGATGCTTTGCAATATGGCAAATATTTGTTCATATGTTTGTTTCCCCAAAAGAATTATAAACTCTTCCTGTACAGAGGCTAAATCTTACACAACTTCTTATCCCAAAGTCTCACAAAATACCTGGCGTAAGTAAGTACCCATAAATTCTGAGTTGAATGAAAAGATCAAAGTTTGGAATTTAGAGCCAAGGAGCACATTCCCTAAAGGCAGATCTGTTTTTCATGTTACTAATGCTTTCTCTCTTCTTTTAGATAGCACCCCTGGTCACCTGGAAAAGAACACAAAGGTCAAAGTTATGAAGGTTTCAGGGATAGGAACAGAGCAGATTAGAATGGTCTGGTTTACTTCATTTAGCATAAAGTCCTCAAGGTTTATTCATGTAGCATATGTCAGAATCTCTGAATAATATTCCATTGTGCACCACATTTCATTTATCCATTCGTCTATTGATGGACATTTGGGTTGTTTCCACCTTTCAGCTATTCTGAATGACGCTGCTGTGAACATGGGTATACAGATACCTGTTCAAGTCACTGCTTTAATTCTTACAGGTATATACTCAGAAGTGGAATTTCTGTTTACCATCTTAATGATATTTTATATTTTGTTTCCCAACTTGCATTTTCCCCACATGTGTTACCTTAAATAGGAAAAAAAAGTTACTGAGAAGGAAAGATTTAAAATGCTACACTCATTTAATAAACATTAATTAATACATTTCTTCTGGCCACAGAACTCAAGTTAGTTCTGAATCTGATCATCTTTGGATGAACTGACAAAATTCAGTTTCTGGACCTACAAAACAACAGATTAGACTCTGGTCTAGGAAATGCCACAAAGATACTGGCATCTTTAAGGCTCAGTCTAACACAGTCTGGTGGCACCTTTCTGATCTCTCTATAAGTTTCAATGTTGGTGACTACAACTTTAGGAAGAGTGAATATCAAATTTAGAAATAAGTGATTCCCAATCCCCTTTCCCTTTACTACATTCCTGAATGAATTTCAGAGTTGGAAGACACACTAGAAGTCAATAAGAATAATCCTTTTATAAAACAATCTACCTGAAATGAATGGGCCTTCTGAAAGTGCTTTTAGTGTGTAGATGTTTAGCCTCTAAAGACATTATCCAGGGTGTGGGTCACTTAAGAAATGTAATTACAAGGTTAGTGGGTTTTTTTTTTTTTTTTTTTTTGAGACAGTCTGGCTCTTGTTGCCCAGGCTGGAGTGCAATGGTGAGATCTTGGCTCACCGCAAGCTCCGCCTCCCAGGCTAAAGCCATGCCAGGCTAATTTTGTATTTTTAGTAGAGACAGGGTTTCTCCATGTTAGTCAGGCTGGTCTCGAACTCCCGACCTCAGGTGATCTGCCTGCCTCAGCCTCCCAAAGTGCTGGGATTATAGGCATGAGCCACCATGCCTGGACTAATGTTGTTTTTATAGAGTGGTATTTCAGGGCATTATCTCAAACACTATATAATACCATTTATACTGGGAAAGCTATCTTCTCTGTTCTGTGGAGTGGGAGCCTTCACCATAAGTTTGTACCTCAGGCTGACTACAGAGCTCATTCCCTCTTTTTTTATGAATTTTATTTAAAACATTCTTTGTTCTTTATTTAAAGTTATTTGTCTATTTATGGGGTATGTAAGATATTTTCATACAGGTATACAATGCATAATAATTAAATCATGGTAAATGGAACATCCATCACCTCGAGCATTTATCCTGTTTTGTGTTGCAAACAATCCAATTATACTCTTTTAGTTACTTCTAAATGTACAATAAGTTACTGTTGACTGCAGTCACCCTGTTGTGCTATCAAATACTAGAACTTACTCATTCTATCCAACCGTATTTTGTATCCGTTAATCATCCCCACTGCCCCCACCACTACCCTTCCCTGCCTCTGATAACTATCCTTCTACTCTCTATCTCCATGGGTCCAACTGTTTTCATTTTTAGCCCCCTCAAATAAGTGAAAACACACCAAGTTTGTCTTTCTGTGCCTGCCTTCTTTCACTTAACATAATGTCCTCCAGTTCCATCCATATTGTTGCAAATGACAGGATCTCATTCTTTTTTACGGCTGAACAGTATTCCATTGTGTATATGTAGCATTTTCTTTATCCACTCATCTGTTGATGGACACTTAGGTTGCTTCCAAATCTTGGCTATTGTTAATAAAGATGCAACAGACATGGGAGTGCAGGTAGCTCTTCGGTATACTGATTTCCTTTCTTTGGCGTATATACCCAGCAGTCGGATTGTTGGATCATATGGTAGCTCTATTTTTAGTTTTTTGAGAAACATCCAAACTGTTCTCTATAGTGGTTGTACTAATTGACATTCCCACCAAAAGTGTACAAAGGTTCCTTTCTCTCGAAATCCTTGCTAGCATTTATTGTTGTCTGTCTTTCAGATAAAAGCCATTTTAACTGGGGTGAGATGATATCTCATTGTAGTTTTGATTTGTACTTCTCTGATGGTTAATGAAGTTGAACACCTTTCCACATACGTGTTTGCCATTTATATGTCTTGAGAAATGTCTATTCAGATCTTTTGCCCATTTTAAATCATATCATTAGATTTTTTTCTACAGAATTGTTTGAGCTTCTTATATATTCTGATTATTAATTCCTTGTCAGACAGATAGCTTACAGATATTTTCTCTCATTCCGTGGGTTCTCACTTCACTTTGTTGTTTCCTTTGATGTGCAGAAGCTTTTTACTTGATGTGATCCCATTAGTCCATTTTTGCTTTGATTGACTGTGCTTGTGGAGTATTCCTCAAGATATCTTTTCCCAGTCCAATGTCCTGGAGAGTATTCCTGTATTAGTTGCTTTTCACACTGCTGATAAAACATACTGGAGACTGGGTAATTTATTTAAAAAAAAAAAAAAAAAGAGTTTTAATGGACTCACAGTTCCATGTGGCTGGGGAGGCCTCACAATCATGGCAGAAGGTGAAAGACATGTCTTACATGGTGGCAGACAAGAGAGAGTGAGAACCAAGTGAAAGGGGTTTTCACTTATAAAACCATCAGATCCTGTGAGACTTATTCACTGCCACGAGAACAGTATGGGGGAAACCACCCCTACAATTGAATTATCTCCCGCTGGGTCCCTCCCACAACACATGGGAATTATTGGAGCTACAATTCAAGATGAGATTTGGGTGGGGCCAAACCAAATCAATCCCCAATATTTTCTTCTAGTAGTTTCACAGTTTGAGGTCTTAGATTAATGTCTTTAATCCATTTTGATTTGGTTTTTGTATATGGCAAGAGAAAGGGGTCTAGTTCATTCTTCTGCATATGAAGAGCCAGTTTTCCCAACAGTATTTATTGAAGAGACTGTCCTTTCCCCTTTGTATGTCCTTGACACCTTTGTTGAAGATTAGTTCACTATAGTTGTATGGATTTGTTTCTAGGTTCTCTATTCTGTTACATTGGTCTATGTCTGTTTTTATGCCAGTACCATGCTGTTTTGATTACTATAGCTCTGTAGTATAATTTTTTTCTTTTTCTTTCTTTTTTTGAGATGAAGTCGCCTTCTGTTGCCCAGGCTGGAGTGCAGCTGCACAATATCAGCTCACTGCAACCTCCACCTCGTGGGTTCAAGTGATTGTCCTGCCTCAGACTGCCCAGTAGCTGGGATTACAGGTGCCTGCCACCACACCCAGCTAATTTTTGTATTTTTAGTAGAGACAAGGTTTCATCATGTTGGCCAGGCTGGTCTTGAACTCCTGACCTCAGGTGATCCTCCTGTCTCAGCCTCTCAAAGTGCTGGGATTACAGGCGTGAGCCACCGTGCCTGGCCTGTAGTATAATTTGAAGTCAGGTAATGTGCTTCCTCCCATTTTCTGGGGGCTTTTTGCTTAGGATGGCTTTGGCTATTCAGGGTTTTTTTTGGTTCCACATAAATTTTGGGATTTTTTTTTCTATTTCTGTGAAGAATGTCATTGGTATTTTGATAGGGATTGCATTGAATCTGCAGATTGCTTTCAGTAGGATGGCCACTTTAAAAATATTGATTCTTTTAGTCCATGAACATAGAATATCTTTGTATATTTTGTATTCTGTTAAATTTATTTCACAAATGTTTTGTAGTTTTTATTGTGGAGATCTTTCACTTCCTTGTATAAGTTAATTACTAGGTATTTAATTTTATGTGTAGCTATTGTAAATGGGATTACTTTCTTGAGTTCTTTTTCAGATTGTTCACTGCTGGCATGTAGAAATGCTACTGATTTTTGTAGGTTGATTTTATATTCTGCAACTTTACTGAATTTGTTATAAGTTCTAATAGTTTTTCGGTGAAGTCTTTAGGTTTTCCCAAATATAAGATCATATCATTTGGAAACAAGGATAATTTGACTTCTTTTCAAAGTTGGATACCTTTTATTTCTTTTTCTTGTCTGATTGCTCTAGTTAGGACTTCCAGTACTGTGCTATTCAGTGTTTACAGTGGGCATCCTTGTTGTGTTCCAGATCTTAGAGAAAAGACTTTGAGGTTTTCCTCATTCAGTATGGTATTAGCTGTGGTCTGTCATATATGGCTTGTGTTGTGTTGAGGTATGTTTCTTCTATATCCAGTTTCTTGAGGATTTTTATCATGAAGGGATGCTGAATTTTATTGAATGCTTTCTCAGCATCAGTTGAAATGATCATATGGTTTCTGTCTTTCGTTCTATTGGTATGGCATATCTCCTTGATTGATTTGCATACATTGAACCATCCTTGTATCCAGAGATAAATCCCACTTGGCCATGATGAATGATCTTTTTAATGTGTTGCTGAATTAAATTTGTTAGTATTTTTTGTCTATTTTTTTTAGTAGAGACAAGATCTCACTATGTTGCCCAGTCTGGTCTCAAACTCCTGGCTTCAAGTAACCCTCCCACATTGGCCTCCCAAAGCACTGTGATTGACAGGCGTGAGCCATTGCATCTGACTGATTTGTTAGTATTTTCTTGAGGATTTTTTTTTTTTTTGAGATAAAGTCTCTCCCTGTTGCCCAGGCTGGAGTGCAGTGCCGAGATCTCAACTAACTGCAAACTCTGCCTCCCAGATTCAAGCGATTCTCATGCCTCAACCTCCTGAGTAGCTGGGATTACAGATGTTTACCACCACTCCCAGCTAATTTTTGTATTTTTAGTAGAGATGGAGTTTTGCCATGTTGGCCAGCCTGCTCTCAAACTCCTAGCCTCATGTTATCCACCCACCTCAGCCTTCCAAAGTGCTAGGATTACAGGCATGAGCCACCACGCTGACCTTCTTGAGAATTTTACATTACTCTTCATCAGAGATACTGGCCTGTAGCTTTCTTTTTCTAATGTGTCTTTGTCTGGTTTTGGTATCAGGGTAATACCGGCCTTGTAGAATGAATTGAAAGTATTCCCTCCCCCTGGATTATTCAAAATAGTTTGAATAGAATTGGTATTAGTTCTTCTTTAAATGTTTGGTAAAATTCAGCAGTGAAGTCATTGGGCCCCAGAGTTATCTTTGCTGGGAGACTTTTTGTTATAGCTTCGATCTCATTACTTGTTATTGGTGTGTCCAGGTTTTTTATTTCTTCATGGTTCAATCTTGGGAGGATGTATATGTCTAGGAGTTTATTCATTTCTTCTAGGTTTTCTAACTTATTGGCATATGGTTGCTCATCGTGGCCTCTGATGATCCTTTGAATTTCTGCAGTATCAGTTGTAAAGCCTCCCTTTTCATCTGTGATTTTATTTATTTGGATAATCTCTCTTCTGTTCTTAGTCCAGCTAAAGGTTTGTCAATCTTGTTTACCTTTTCCAGAAAAACACAACTTTTTATTTAATCAATCTTATGTATTGTTTTATTTGTTTCCACTTCATTTATTTCTGCTCTGATCATTACCACTTATTTTCTTATACTAATTTTAGATTTGGTCTCTTCTTGCTTTTCTAGTTCTTTAACATGCATTACTAGGTTCTATTCTTCAAATAACCTAATGATGCACTTTAAAGAACTAGAGAAGTTAGTTTAGGTTGTTGATCTCTTCAACTGGAACTAGGTTGAAGTTTTTTCTGGGTTGGTGCAAAAGTAATCACAGTTTTTGCCATTGAAAGCAAAAATCATTACTTTTTGCCATTACTTTCAATGGCAAAAACTGCAATTACTTTTGCACCAACCTAATACTTTTTTGAGGTAGGTGCTTATAGCTGTAAACTTCCCTCTTGGTACTGCTTTCACTGTGTCCCATAGGTTTGGGTGTGTTGTGCTTCCATTATCATTTGTTTCAAGGAAATTTTCAGTTTTCTTCTCGATTTCTTTTTATTGGCTTACTTGTCATTTAGGTGCATGTTGTTTAATTTCCATGTGCTTGTATAATTTCCAAAATTCCTCTTATTATTTATTTCTAGTTTTATTCCATTGTGGTCAGAGAAGGCACTTGAAATAATTTTAATTGTTTTGAATGTTTTAAGACTTGTTTTGTGGCCTAACATATATTCTATCCATGAAGATGATTCATGTGCTAATGAGAAGATGTGTATTCTGCAGCCATTGGATGAAATGTTCTGTAAATATCTTTTAGGTCAATTTGGTCTATAGTACAGATTAAGTCCAATGTTTTCTGTCTGGATGATCTGTCCAATGCTGAAAGTGGGGTGTTGAAGTCTACAGCTATTATTGTATTGGGTTCTGTCTCTTTCTTTAGCTCTAATAATATTTCCTTTATATATCAGGGTGCTCTGGTGTTGGGTACATATATATTTAAAATTGTTATATCCTCTTGCTGAATTGAGCCCTTTATCATTATATAATGACTTTCTTTGTCTCTTTGTCTTGAAATCTATTTTGTCTGACAGAAGTATAGTTACTCCTCCTTTTTGATTTCCACTGGCATGAAATATCTTTTTTCATCCCTTTATTTTTCAGTCTATGTGTGTATATATAGTGAAGTGTGTTTCTTGTAGACAACAGATCATTGGGTCTTGCTTTTTTTTTTTTTAATCCATTCAGCCACTCTGTGTAGCTTGATTGGAGAGTTGAGTCCATTTACATTCAATGTTATTATTAAACTGATGACAACTTAACATTGATTGCATGAACAAGCAAGGTAACTAACAAACAAGCAAAGAGAAAACTAATAAAAACTCTACACTTTAACCTCATCCTCCAGCCTTGTAACTTTTTGTTATTTGTATTTATAGTTTACTGTACTGTCTATGTCTTGAAAAGTTGTCATAGTTATTATTTTTGATTAGTTCATCTTTTAGCCTTTCTACTCACGATATGAGTAGTTTATACATTACAATTATGTTACAATATTTTGTGTTTTCCTGTGTACTTACTGTTACCTATGAGTTTTGTATTAAACCTTCAGTTTATTTCTTATTTCTCATTAGTATCCTTTTCTTTCAGACTGAATAACTCCTTTTAGCATTTCTTGTAGGACAAGTCTGGTGTTGATGAAATCCCTCAGCTTTTGTTTGTCTGGAAAAAAAAATCTTTATTTCTCCTTCATGTTTGA